TTAGGAGGCATGGCCTTGGAGGAGGTGTGTCACTGGGGATAGACTTAGAGGTTCCAAAAGCCCATGTCATTCCCAGTTAGTGCTCTCTCTCTCTCTCTCTCTCTCTTCCTCTCTCCCTCTGTCTCTCCCTCCCTCCCTTCCTCCCCCCACCCCTGTTTCTTGTTTGTGCATTAAGATGTAAACCCTCAGCTTCTGCTCCAGTGTCATGCCTGCCTGTCAGCTGCCATGCTCCCTCCTGTGATGATCATGAACTCTAACCTCCTGAACTGTGAGCCCCAAATCAAATGGTTTCTTTTATAAGTTCCCTTGGTCATGCTTGTTTTGTCCCAGTGGAGAAAAGCAGCTAAGACAGCCTGTGCTGCCTGAGCGTGTCCACAGGCCCTCCTGGCGCCTTGCGATGATGAGCGAATACGTGGCTGGGACACGAGGCAGAAAGAGAAGTGCTGTGCAGAGAGACGGAGCTGAAGAAGCAAGCCGGTGACGAGCAGGCTGGTGTGGTGGCCGGCTCGCCACCAGGGGCCCGGACCGCGGCCAAACATCATGTCTGGGTCCTGTGGACAGCCATGTCCCATGTTGCCACCAAAGGCCAGAAGGATTCACAAGGCCTGGGCTGCCACCCGGGCCATGCCCAGCTGAGTGGCCAGTGCTACCACCCAGGGCCATGATGACGTCTGGGCTTAAGCTGCTGCTAAGGACCATGTCTAGGTCTGTGGCCTACGGCAGCCGGGGTGTGGTTTGATGTTCAGTTAGCCACTGAAGGCTGAGCAGAAACCCAGGGTCTGGACAGCCACTTGAGTCCATGTTGGTGCCTGAGGACCACACTGCCACCAGGGCCATACTGATCTGTGTGGTCTATGCTGCCAGTGGGGCGATGGTGAAGTAGCCTGTGCTGCCTGAGCGTGTCCTGAGCTGCTGCTGAGGGCCGTATCTGGGTCCTTGTTCCTACCGCAGCTGGGGTCTGTGTTGATCTACTTGGCCCATGCTACCACAGGGAGCCATAGGAAGCACATGTGTTGAAATCCGAGGGTCATGCTGAGCTGGTACTGCACTTTGCTGGCCCAGAAAGAGCTGCCTTGTCCCTCGCTGGCCACTACAGTGGAAGAGCTGGCTCTGCCCCTCACAGGAGAGCTGGGCCCGCACTCTGGAGAGAGGGCACTGTAACTTCCCACCAGCCTGGTTCCAGAGCTGAGTCAGTCCCAAATGAACACACAGGAGGCTATATTAATGATGAAGCTGTTGGCCATTTGTTACTGTTTCTCATTGGCTAGCTCTGACTTAATTATTGGCCCATAATTACTAATATATATTTTTATAAGGTCTTATCTTACAAAGAACGCAGGCTTGTGTCCCCTCTTTCCCCGAATCACATGGCGATGACTCCCTTCACTACATTTCCCAGAATCCTCCTAGACTCGTAGTCCACCTATCTTGCTTTCCTATTGGCCAACAGTGCTTTATTTACATACACACAGGACTTCCCCATCAGGGCACCACCTCTCACCAAGGGCTGGGAGAGCTGGCCCTGATGGCACCAGCATGGGGCATGGAGGAACTGGCTCTGACCCTCACCTGAGGGGGCTGATCCCAGCTGCCCCACACTGATCAAATCAGCTACCATCCAGACACACATCCAGAGCTTTGAGTTGGCCCACCCCAACATCTACCCCATCTATGATCTGCCTGAGTGTGTGAAGGGACTGGTCCTATGGAACCACATCTCTAGGATCTCCATGACTCGGGCAACAGCAGAATATCTGAGAGGACTTTCTTGAGGGTCCAGTATTGATGATGTACCAGAAGCCAGAGGCCTTGAACCAGACCAACAACTCATTGCAAGTAAGGCTGAGTGGACAAAGGGTCTACTGTATGACTCCCTGCAGCTCCTGATGATACCAAGGCGAATGAAGATATGCTGGAAAACTGGAAAAGATGGTGGAGCAAAGCGGCTTCTTGGTTTTGTCTTTAATTGATTTATTTTGTTTTCTTTTGGGGGAGACGCTACGGGGATGAGGGGTGGATATGGAGGGACTGGAAAATGAGCAGGGGTTGGGATACAAGATGTGAAATTCCCAAAGAATCAATGGAAAACTGTGTTAAAAAGGAAATGAACAGATAAGACGGTTCATCCGGAGGTCTTTTCAAAAGAGTTACAAGCTCACTTTTTTGAAAGTTGTACCATGAGTTAAGCTGCAACCATCTTGAACCCCTGCCCTCTAGAGGCATGCCTCATTAGGAACTAGGGTCATCCACCCTGTCTCAACATGAGACAGGCCTCTTCTCAGCCATCACAACACCATTGGGATCTATTCTAAAGAGAGGTAAATTTGATCCCCAGACCCTAAAAAAGAAACATCCTGTGTCCCTCTGTAACGTTGCTTGGCTGGAGTACAAACTCTGAGTGACCCTTGTGTGACACTTCACCACAACACTCTTTTTGCTTAGCCAGTTCGGTCACAGCGTTCTAAGTGGTCAGAGGTCTCCTATATATATATCCAAGCTTTCATGTCCCTTTCCAAAGATCTAAATCTACCAAAAAAAATCCTGCCACGTGTATTTAGCTGGATTGCCAGTGTCCTCAGGAGGCCAGGGCATCCTGGATAGCCCTCTTTCGTTGCACCCCATCCTCTCAACTAACTACTCCCCAAGTCCATCTTCCCAGAGGAGGTCAGCCACTTTCTCATATCCAGAGGGCTTTGAAACTCTCTCCCCTTCACATGCCCTTTCAGGAAATAACTTTAAAGAACTGATGGCGTTCTGCTGCTGCTTCAAGAAGCCCATATCCCCTCCTCGAGACAGTCAATGGAAAACTGCACTGTCAAAGTCTATGTTCCCCTCCTTATACTCGACCTTACCCAGACAGAAACCAAAGTGGGCTCTTTTAGCCAGGACCTCTCGGTTTGCATTAAAGCATTTCAGAGCCTCTTCATCTCCTTTGACCTAACTTGACAGAATATATGTAATCTTTTTACTACCTGCTGTTCACATGAGGAAAAGACCTGTTCTTGGTCTCTCAGCTAATGAGGCCCACATCTGAATCCCATGTGAGGCCCCTCCTGTTGGAAGACGCTCCTCCCACAACTTTCCCCAAATAAACCCTGGGTAGCCTTAGGAAAAGGATCCAGGTAAAGTTCACAATGATTAACCGGTAGTGATACAACCTGTCAGTTATACCAAACTGAGATAACCCAAGGCCCCACTGAGAACCCAGCTCTGTCTATCTCTAGACTGGCTGAGGCTATGTGTAACTACTAACGTGGACTTAGAGGCCCTGAAGACCTTGTCATTTTTCAATCCATTTCATCAGTTAGCCCTCCCCGGGCGTCTGACAAACTTCCAGAGCTGGAGAAGGAACCCTAAACCTCTTTCCTCACTTTGCTTCAAGGCACTCCACTACTGGGAGAAGGTTTGAGGACCAAGAAGGAAAGGGAGGGAGTGGAATGTAATAGCAGCTGTCCTAGCTTATGACAGGCAGCTCTAGGTACCTCCATCATAATACAAACAGCCTAAAGCTTCATCTATGTTCCTTCTCTCCTGCATGGGGAGACGTAATTCAAGAGACACCTCTTCCCTTCTCTGTAGGTACCCTCATTGAGTCAGCCAGGACACTTTTGTCAAGATTGTCAAAATTGACCCAAGGCAGCCGGGCAGTGGTGGCGCATGCCTTTAATCCCAGCACTCAGGAGGCAGAGGCAGGCAGATCTCTGTGAGGTCAGCCTGGTCTACAGAGTAAGTTCCAGGACAGCCTCCAAAACAATACAGAGAAACCCTGTATCAAAACCAAAAAAAAAATTGACCCAAGGCCGCTTTGCAAAAAGTAGGGATATTGGACCCAGAACTGCCACTTTCTCTTAAAAGAGAGGCCATCTCAATACTCAAAGTCCTGGAGACATGATGACTAGGGGGATGGAAGGTACCACTTATTCTTTTCTTGGACTCCAAGCTTGGATTGGCTAACAGACTGTTTGTATACAGGTTGTCATATTTTTCATTTCTATGGAAAAGCCTCAGATGCAGCAGGAACTAGAATTCGTTTCTTAACCAATATGGAGGCCACTTCTTCTGACCAACTTCCTTGGACCCACTTTGTGGTCTTTGATCCTCCCCATTAGAGTCTGTGGGTGACCCCTGCATAGTTAAGACACCCCACACCCTCTCTAGAATGCTTCTTTAAAAAGTGTATCTTTTACACATTCATTCTTAGTATTACTGAAATGCCTATCACTATTAGGGAGTGTGATACTCAGTACACACTCAGTACAGGCTCATTACATACAGGCTCTCCCTGACCCTTTACCCAGGCACATCACTAGACCTCTTCTGTTTCACAAAAAATTCCCCTGGGGCTGTTTCTCTCTCCCTGGATAGTCATTGTGCACAACTTCTACAAAACATTTTCTCAAAATTTCCAACTTTCCCAGGCATCTCTTCCCCCAAGCTGGAAGTCTATGGCCACCAGTCTACTCTGCCCCTGTAACTTCCCTTGTGACATGCCCTTGCTGGTAGTCAGAGGCCTGACAATAGTTTTACTGTAAAACCTCAGAGTTATCAACAAGGCTTTGGTCTTTGCATGCTGTCGAACGAAACCCCTATGCTTTCTTAGGACAAATTCCCACAGGGAATTCTTTTCTTCCCAGCTAGCTCCCCTTTTATTTTGTTTTGATGAGCCAATGAGCTTAGTCCAAGGCTGCTTATGGGATCAAGGGTGATAGGTTATTTACAAGAACATGCTCAACTTAGTAATTTCTTGCACTAGCTGTATAAAAGCCTTTCCCATTGAGACTGAAAGGACTAGATAGGGCACAACAGCACTTGAACATGCAATCTCTCACCTTAAATAGTTTAGCTTTCACCTGAAGCACACACACACACACACACACACACACACACACACACACACACACACACACACGGGATTTGCGAGACCGTTCAAATACTTGAATTTTGTGTGATACACACAACCATAAGAAAGGCAGAGAAGGTTAGAGACAGTTCAGACATTATAGAGGCTCCTTAATAATTTAATACAAGAAACTCAACAGTCCTTGCTAACTCTCCTCCCGGTGGCATTCCTAAGGTCTCCTATCACTCCTGAACATCTCAGGCACATTTAAAGTCCTATGTAGAAGAGGCCATTCCTTCAGATAAATGTTTATTAGGCCCTGAGACACATTATCTTGCCTAGTATGTTACATCTCAGGAACCAACCACCAACCCATTAATGATCATCAAGATAATTAAAGCCCTAAACCAGACTCTTTCCCACCAAGTGAACGTGGACAATCACAATTAACCTTGACAGAAGGCCACAGAGCTGCTCTCTCTAAAGTCAGCCTCCTCCTGGCATCGAACACTGAGCAATCAGAACTGTTATCGTTTGGATGGTAGGAACAGAATGATGGGAATTGTATGGCGGGTCATCCTAGTCAAGGAAGCTAGATGGCTCAACGAGTAAAGGAATTTTCCCTCAAACCTGGTGACCTAAGTTTCATCCCTGGAACCTACATGGCGGAAGGAGAGACTGACACCCCACGAGCTGTCCTCTGACCTCCACACATATAGGTATATTACACCCCCGCACAAAGAAATAAATATAATTTTAATTTTTTAAAAAGAAAGAGAGTAACTGCAGACAGGTGGTTCTTTTTTTGGCCCCCCCTGAATTTTCCCAGTGTGTTCAGTAAACTTTTTTTTCTACTTTGATCTAACTGTGAATTCTTTCGCCAGCCCTGCACCATTTCCCTTGTATCCCCACTCTATAGGAGTTCAGACTTTCAGCAGGTTCCTGCAGCCCATCTGGAAGGGTGACCTTGCCCACATGAATGCAGTCTCAGATGAGGAGGCCACAGTGAGAATATCCCCCGAGACCTCTTATTTCCAAGCCCAGAGGATGGGATTCTTTTTTCTTTTCTTCTTTTGGCTCTTTGAGAGAGTCTCACTCTGTAGCTAGACTGTCTAAAAATGGAGTTGTTCTACCTCTGTCTCCCCAGAACTGGGGTAACAGGGAAGCTTACAGACAGGGACCACTGCCCCCTCCCCTTAACTAGCAGGGTTCAGCCCAGGTGAGACCCCAGGGTTTCTCTATGGCTGTGAGCAAGGAAAGGGTCTTAACAACCATATTCTTCTGAGTATGAGTTTGATTTTACAGACCAAGAACTCTCTTTTCCTCAGCCACACACACACACAAGCCCAAGCAAAGATTTTGTTTTTAAATAAGGAAGAAAGAAACAAAAAGGTTGGATGCAACAAGCCTGGGCCATGGCAGGGGAACGTTGCTGGATTTCCCCCACCTAGGGACCCTTTCCAAAGAGGCAAGTTCCTGGGAGGTCCAGAACCAATACCAAACCTCCCACTAACCCTTTATTGGGAAATGCTCCCTCTGGAGGTTGGGATTGTGAGTATGTACGTATGTGTATGTGTGTGTGTGTGTATGTATGTATGTATATTCTTGGATAAATTTCGGCTGGAGAGGATGGGCTGCAGAAGGAGGGGAAGACTTAAGCTGCTACGACAGAGCAGTTTCCCTTCTTGGAAATGCAGCCAGGAGTTGACTTTCCCTCCAGGAAAGAAAAAATAAGTCTGTTATGTCTGTTGCTCTCTCTGTCACTTGCTGTCTGCCAACTTTCTGCTTAAGCTCTCTCTCCCTTCTGTCTGTCTGTCGGTCTGTCTCTCAAACACATACATTAATGACTCTAGACCCCTTTTAAAACTTTTTTTCAAATGGGATGGTAGAGACTTTGAGAGAAAACCCTTATCCACCCATTCTAACTAACTCTGACTCGCTCTACACACACACACACACACACACACACACACACACACACACACACACACACACACACACCCCTCCCCGGTGACCTCCAGATGTTCTCGACCCAGCGGCCATCTGCTGAGATTACTGGGACGTGCAAAGTGGGAAGGCAGAGGGGGCAGGGATCCGGGTTGCAGGAAGCTGGAAGAGAGGCCTAGTGTAGTGGGAGGGAACCGAGCACTTTTGAGACGCTCCCTAGGGTGGAACCCGTGCTCCGCCGGCGGGCGGGGGCTGGGCTGCCAGACCGCCCCACTAAACTTGCACTTTGACGACGCTCCCTGAGCCTCTTGGCCGAGAGCCGCAGCAGTCACTGGGTGCCCGGCAAGGGGAGCCCGGCGGCGGGCGGGGACTTGGGGCGGGACGTGAGGCGCGGAGAAAAGCGCCGGCCCACCGGCCAGCGCCGGGCCGCCTAGGTGAGCGTGCCGAGGCGACAGCTGTGGACCTGCCAGGTGGGTGCTGTCCCGAGGCGCAAAGAGATCGGCGTGCATGCGGAGATCTGGAGCCTTTGAGTCCAACCTCGCCGCCCCATCCCGTGGACCGGCTGGCGCGAGGGGCGGGTCCGGGTCCCGCCGAGGCCCCTCAACTTTTCCGGGACACCCGGCCACAGCAGCGCAGGGTGGGGGGAGTAGGGGAGAGGGCTTTCAGGAGACAAAGGCTCTGCCTGGGGGCCATGGGCGTGGACCAGCGCCTCCAGGGTCTTTGCAGGAACACGTGCATCTCACGGTAGTGGGTCTTTTATGGATTTGGGTTCAGAAACCAGCATCTGCTTGTGCCTTTGTGTGTGCGTGGCTTTGCATGGCTGTCTCGCGCCGGTGTCCCCGTTTTTCACAGCCTGGCGTTTGGTCGTGGGGGTCGGTGGGCTCTCCGCGTGTGTCCGCTTACGTGGTCTGTGCCTGTCGACGTGTCTGGGTTGGGTGTCCGTGGGGCATGTGCGCGCGCTAGGACCTGGGCTGTCCCGACTCCCTGCTCCCCTGCTGTCCACCGTTTTCCCCCTACTTGGCTCCAAACTTTTCTCCGGGTTCCTCCAGCAACGCCTGCTGGCAGCCCTCCTCTCTCTCACCTCCGGAGGTCCTTCAAGCCGCGAGGGGAAGGGATAGGATTGGTGGGTCGGGGGTGATCGCAGTGCCTGGCGACTGGCCCGGGCCAGGACTGGGCGGAGCGTGCTGGACACCCTCACAGGACCCTAGAGGGAGGAGGGAGGGACGCGGCTGGTCTGGGCTCCGGCCTGAGGCTGGAGACACTGGAGTAGCGCGTTGCTGGCAGTTGTCTGTCTCCCGCTTCTGCGACAGAGTATGGACGGAGAAACCTGCGAGACGGAGAGACTTGTTTGGTTTTGAGTGTCGCTCGACATTTAACCGGACCCCAGAGTCAGGGGACTAACCTTCCGATCCAATAGGTGAGAAAGGCCACTGCTTGCCTGCATCCGGCCTGCTCTCGACCCTTAGCTCGGGTTGGGTTGTGGGGTGAGCAGGGGCTTACACACACTAGTTTCCAGCGGGACAGTCAGTGGCTCACGGTAGGGGCCCCCGTGAGATTTGGTCACTGTTAGGATGGGGTGAGAACTCCCCGCTGCCGCTGCCGCTTGAGAGGAGCGCGCAGAGGTAGTAACCAGCATCGGGAGCTTAGCTAAGGGCAGCACCCGCCCACACTTGGCCCGGCCCAGAGGTGACTCAAACTTAGATCCTTCCTTGCTCCGTGCCATCCTTTCGGATAAGTCTAGACTTGTAAAGGCTCCGGAGTGGGAGGGGCCTGAGCTTTTGATCCTGGGTGGCAAAGATAAGCCAACTACTTCTTTTCCAGCCCTCCACCCCAATCTTTAACCAGTAGAACTTTGCCCAGTACTACGGGGGGGGGGGGGTAAGTAAGATGGCCACAAACTTGGAAAAGAGGCAAGGATGGCCACTTTCCTTTTCGTTTCTAGTCCTTCCTTTTGAAAGAGGGAGTCTTGACTCCCTTGTGATCACTCCCTTGTAATCCCAGAGCCTGGAAACTATTGTGTGGCCAGGCATTAATTTGTTCCTAGGAAGAGAAGGCTGGAATGCACCATCCTGGGGAACTTGAGTCCCCAGGGCTTCCACCCACCCTGTTCCACTGACCCGTGAAAGGCAAAAGCTGATGTTACTTATCTTTCACATGACAGACTGGTCAAGAGACAGAGTCCAGACCAGTATTCTTAATCATTACTTCTGGCACAAAGCAGAAGCGATGTGCTTGACTGAGTTCACCATCCTTTCCCGAAGAGCGATGAGCCCACCCTGGAAGTCCCCTGCAAAAGCAAAGTTCAAAGACAGGTTCCATAGGCAGGACCATGGGAAGGGACGTGGCAGAGCAGATGACTCTGCTTAGGGTTTTGAAGTTTTCCAATACACAGCAGAGCCAGGAAGGGCTTCCCACTGTACATGCAGGGCTCTGTGTGTTCTGGAAACGGCGCAAAGGTGATTGTCTTTGTGTCGGGGTGTGCAAGGATTAGGTGTTGAGGAAAAGGAGTTACTCAGAGGCTGCGGGGGGGGGGGGGCAGAGGCCAAATCAATGAGCATCAATTTGAGCTGGAGTTTGAGACTGTATGCAGAGAGCTGCAGGAGGAAAGGTGGCATTGGTCATTCCAAAGCCTTCCTCTGGCTTTTGGCTGCTGCTGGGGTCTGGGGGACCTATCTGAAGACGAGATACTGCATGTCTTCAGTCAGAAAGTCTGGGAGCTCTGCTCTTGCTCCATGGCTTCCTGCCTGTCACCTGGGACACTGTGTCAGTCACCTGTCTGATTCCCAGCCTCCTTCAAATGCAGTTACTGATTGATGTGTTGTGAATGTTAAGTAGCATAACAGATTATTGCATACGCTAATAAACTGAGATGTGGTTTCAGGGTGTCTGATTATATTGTGTGAACACAGTGGAGGCAGAAGGAGCATGGACTCCGGTCTTAAACCTGGTTTTACCACGAGCTAATCTCTGAGTTCCAGGAGGCACCCAAGCAAAAGGAGGCATCTCTGACCTGACATTTTACTCCTCTAGGTCCTGCCTCCCTGTGCTAGTATCCACGATAGAGCTGGACACATTCTTAGACAGCCACAGCCCAGTGACCCTTTGGGGCATGAGGGCCAAGTTAGACTGGGAAGGCCTCATAGAACAGGTAGCTTTTGAATCAAACAAGTAAGAGTTTGTGGAAGACAAAGCGGGGAGGGGGCTTTGTCATCTTTGTCAAAAGAAATAGCCTATGCAAAGTTAGAGGTCCCTGGGGAGTGACAGGCATCTAGTCTGAGAGGCTGTCTTTGTGGAATGGGTTTTAGATAGGGCACAATGGTAGAGTCTTGCTATCAATTGGAAGCTGTCCATACTCTGCTGCTCAGCATGGTGTTTGTTTAGAGCTATAGCAGTATTTAGAGGTGGAGGCCAGAGGCCAGGTGGCTACAGAGGTCTCCTGAGTTTGACCTAGGTAGGGTGAAGTGGCTGCAAAATTTGAGGAAAAGACAGTGACCTACCTGCTTGCCCAGGAGTGACTGCTGTTATGATGCCAAATTCTCTTTCGGCCATAGGTGGCACCAATACTTCCGACTCCTCTGGCCTCTGGCCTCTGTGACCTTTCCAGATCCCCGGGGGAACCTGGTCAGGGCCCTGGATGGGACATTGAGAGATTCCAGGCTTCAAGGATGGCTTTTGGGCTCTCCATCCTGCGTGCTTTAGCATCTCTTTCTCTGACCCTGCCGTCACCCACAGAGGCAGGACTGAACAAGCACCGAGACCCACTAGTGCCAGCAAGCTGAGTCCTTGTTTCCTCTAAGTAATCAGATCAGGGCCCAACTGGGAGCAGCACGAGGCTTCCCTCCGTGTCACAAGACTCGGTCCTCACAGTCAACTGGCAATTTTTCAAAGATCAACTGGAAGAAGAAAATAGTGGTTGAGGCCTTGTCTCTATCCCTGTAGATGATACTCTTTGGGTGGGAGGGTGCTGAAGTTCCAGGCCCCACCTGTACCAAAGATGTCATTAAGGAAGCCAGGTGCTAGGTTCATTAGATCCAGCCTTTGTCTCCTCATTGGCCATGTGTCCCTGGACAAATCATTGAACCTCTCTGGACTCTAAACAGCTGTAAGACTAGTGCAATACCATTTAACTTCTTGGTTTTGCAAGGTGACCAAACATGCATGGGACAGACTGAGGTGTCCTTTGGTGACAGCATTGACATCTATGTGCCTGTTATACCTTTCAGACTTTTTTGTTTGGTTGATTGGTTGCTTCTCTGTTTTGAAACAGGGTCTTACTGTATAGCCCCAGCTGCCATGGAACTCGCTATGTGAACCAGCCTGGCCTTGAACTCAACAGATAGCCTCTTGTCACTGTCTCTCAAGTGCCGGGATTAAAGGCATGCACCACTACACCCGGCCAATGCCTGGTATATCTTAATATAGTACTGATTCAGAGGGAAAAAATTAAAAACCCTAACTCCCCCTCCCTGCCCACAGAGGACAGACAGGTAAACATGTCATTACAGCCCAGCATTACCAATTCTAAGTGCCTGTCCCCACTCCCCATTTCTAAGTTGAGGCCAAGTGTGGGTTTGGAGCTAACGTGTCTGGGTCTGGTTCCTCTATTACCTGGCTGAATAGCATGCTGCTGTTTGCCTGTGCAACAGGGATAATAATCACCACAGTTAAGGACTATCATGAAGCAGCAGTGACACATGTGGGAAGCTGATGTGCTTGCAATATCGATTTGGTAGAGAAAGCCAGCCCTGGAGACTCTGTGTCCCCAAAATTCTAATTCTAATTTCCAGAGCTCAGTGGTTGGTGGGCAGGATGCTTTGAAATTTCTCCCCGTGGATTTCATTGCTGTCAGTGTGTTCATGACTGAATGGAGTGAGATGCAAGGCCACCTGGGGTTGAGGAACGGCTGGCTGATACCAAGGCCCGTCCTAGGTGGGTGCTGGGCACTGGACCAACCCTGCAACTATCCCCCGGCCCACCTGGCTCCTGTGCCAGAGGTTCAGTGTCGAAGCTAGGAAGTTTTGTAGCTTAGAAATGCTATGCCACTGTATGCTCTGTCGAGCAGGCCCAGGAGGTGCCTGGACTCCAGCCTCTAGCCCCAGAGAGAGGTCTGCAGGAGAGGAGGGTGGCGGGGGCCTCACCAGCAGACACCAGCAGTATGTCTGAGAGGTCGGTGTGAACCATGGACCTGCTGGGACATGGGTGGAAAGGGGCATGAAGATAAATCACCACCTCCAGGAAGTTTAGAAAATCATGACCACCAGGGACTAAGCACTCACCAAGCAGAGTGCTTCATCCCTGCCTTCTCCACAGCCCTCACTTCTTGTCTCTGTGGAGGACTTGGAGACTCCAATAGGCAGGCCTGGATTCCCAGGCTGTCCCGGGTCTAATAGACAACCCACAAGACTTCTTGCTGTATCTCTGTCGCTGCCTCTGGCCATCAAGTCTGGCTTTGACCCCAGTTAGGGAAGGAAACCCAGGTTAAGGAACGCTCTGTCTCACACTGTTCACATCATGCTTCACTTTATGGTTGAAATTTGAATTTTCTCAGTAGCCTCTAAAGGAGGCCTATTGGTAGCCTGAGGTGTGAGAGGCCAGGAGGGAGGGGTGGGGGCAGCCTGTGGGGACAGAGACTGCTTTGTTCCACTGGCCAGGCAGGGATGGGCGGGTAGATGTGTGTGATGCAAGGAGCCGTGTGAGGTGGTGGGTCCCAGCTCCTGGGCCTGACTCTGCCATTGCATTTCCTTTACTGCCCCCCTGGGCCTCGGTCACCCATCGTCTCCAAGGGTTCTGCAGCTCACAAGCCTGGAATTCTCTGTTTGTGGTCCGTGTGAACAACAGTGGACTGTTTAGAAAAGCTGCTACCCAGATGACAAAGAGGGTTCAATCCCTATGGGGATTCAGGCAGGAAAGGGAGAAGGGCATCTCCAACTTCCAGAGGCCTTATGTCTGGGAGAAGATGATCTCTGTGGTTTTACAAACAATCCTGAGGGCATTGATATGGTCAATTCTGTCTCATGGCAGATTTGGGATGTGACGTGGAGAGAGCCCTTTGGAGCTGCCAGGCCCATAGCATTCACACCATTCATGCTTGACCTCACAAGCCGACAGCATAGTTTTCCTTAGAGTCGCTGTGGACTTGACATAGTGGGCCCTAAATAGTTCATGGCCAGCCTCACAGGATCTGCTGTCTTCCACACTAGAGCTATGTGAAGTATTTTGCCTTGTTTGGTTGACCCTTTCATCGGTGGGGCAAGGCTTGTAGAAAAGATCTTCTCTTGACCTAATGATCTCTCTGCTCCCCATACATCCCTGGGTGGCTGCCTGTCTGCATTCTGTATTGCACTTTCTCCCAGAGTAGAGGTCCCAGAACGGAGGCTGGGCAATATCAGTACTGTTACACAGATGAGGAAATCAAACTCCTGGAAGTAAAACTGTGGAAGTCTCAAAAACTTAAGCCTTCTGGGTTCAAGATATTAGTGGTGTTTGCTATGAATAGGAATGGTCTAACATTCTCATGCACTCTCACCCTGACAATGCTTAGCCCCATGCTTTGTGCTCCGTTCAGCTTTAAAATCCTGTAACTCTAGGGTTGGTGCTCAACCCCTTATTGTGGAGATGGGAGAGAATGATCTAGGGGTCCTGACTCCCCTGGGACTCGTCCTGACACAGTTGCTCTGTTGCTTTTTTATCAGCACCCTGGAGCGTGGTGAAGCATGCTGGGAGGCACCCGGTCTGGCACCTAGCCTGGAGAGACACAGCAGCCCACGCTGTGTATCTGTCAGTGTCTTGGCTGTACTGGTCATGTCCCCTCTAGGGGGACATACCTCCAGTCCTTACAGGAGCTCTTTGAAGGACTGTCCTCCCCTTTCATCTTCCCTGTAGTGCACCCAAATCACAGGTCAGCAAGTAACTCTTCTTCGGATCCTATAACGAGGGATGGGACAGTTGGTCTCATTGGGCAAAGTCGAGGACTATGTGAGAGGGGCTTCCTACTAGCAGGGCCCTGGGAGGTGTTCCTGGCACAGCAGAGCAAGGCTCCGGCCCAGTGCATTGTCAGTCATGTTGTCCAGGTGGGACTGCACCTTCACTCTGCCTGCTTTGTCTCAGCATCAGGACCACTGAGCCATTCCAGAATCCCTGGGGAGGGACATGCTCACCTCCTCACAGACGCAGTGTGCAGGACTTTGTGGACTGTGTGAGGCTGGCAGGACAGACATGGCTGCCCTGTGTGGAGGACAGGGTTAGGACCTAGAGGAGAGAAACATCTGGGCTGTGTTTGCCCGGTGGGTTACATAAGCTAGCGTGCAGGAGAAGCAGCTTGGCATTTTGTGGACACATTGTATAATCACCTCTGGGAACCAAAGGGTAATCTCCAGGCCCTTTGTGGTGTTTGTTTAAACCCCCAGGCAGGGTGGGTAAGAACAGATCCGCTTAGCTTGGCGGGGGCGGGGGTAGTGGTAATAAACTCTTGAAGAGCTCCCTGGGGAACAAAGGGGCCTGGAGCAACTTAATATTTTCTTCTTGGTGCAAACATTGGAACACTCCGTCCTGCCTTGGTTGGGGCCAAGCCCAGGATGCACCTGGGCAGGGTTTAATCCTTGAATTGGTCTCTGCAAAAGAAAGGGGTGGACAAGAAGGGCCCAGAGCCCAGCCCTACTTCTCCCTGGCCCAGCACAGAGCCAGCGTCCAGATCAAGTGGCTACCCCTTTAAAGTTTCATGCAGGGCCGGTAATGCTACCCAGCTGCTCCTCTACCCCCAGTCTAGAAGGTGGGTAGGTCCTCCCCCTCCCACTTTACCCTATTTTCTTCCCTGGAGGCTCATGGAAGGGAGACAGGCAGGAGGGAAAGCCACCCAGTGAAGAGCTCTCTGTCTCCTAAATGGCTGCCTAGCAGGGTAGGGCCCACTTAGAGGTCCTCACTGCAAAACCCACTGGTGTTCATGCTAAAACCACCCAGCACCTGTGTCGCGAGACTTTCAATAGAGTACAAACCTTGAGTGTGCCTGGTGTGGATCTATGCAATCCTTAGACATGACAACATACACAGTGTCAGGAATATGTAATGGCTTCCCTTGTAATTTCACAGAGGGAACTGGGGTCGAGGGCTGGGTGACTTGAGCTGTAGCATATGTCTATGAGGAAAGCCCCTCCTGGACTCTGCTCTACTCCCCCATCATGCCTTCTGGAGGCAGGAGCCTGAGACAGAAGAACTGAGCAGGCCTGCGTCTAATTCCACCCCGTGTTATGCTAGTTTGGTGGCAAGGCCCTTGCTCTCTCTGAGCCTCTGTTTCTTCTTCTGCACAACGGGGGTAACAAGTCAGCTGCTTTTCACAGTTAAAAGGGGAGAGGGCAGAGAGGCTGGGAGTAGGGCACAGGCGAAAGCAGAGGCTTAGGGTGGTGGGTGTCCCACATGCATATCTGGGAGTCTAGACCCTGGATCTCCAAGTAAAGGGGAGATGCTGCCGCAGAACCAGCCAAGGGGGAAGGGGTGTGGGCAGTCACTGCAGGGAGAGTGGGCTCAGCCCCTGCCATTGGCACAGAGGATCCTGGCTCTTGCGTCTACTCCACCTAGCACCACCCTGTTTAGCTGTATCAATGCCTGTCTCCAACCCTTCAAGGCTGAGGTCTCTCTTGTCAGATGGAGACAGGACTCTGCCTTGTAGGTCATCGTGAAGGTTAGAGGAGACCATGTTCTAAAGCAGTCAATACAGCACCCAGCCTGTGGCATCTTTTCAGCCAAGGTGAATGAAGTCCCCCAACCCAACCCCAGTATTGTGAGCTCCTCTCTGACATACCTGGGTCTTCAGCAGCCTCTGAGCCCTGGGTTAGCAGATATAGTAAAACCAGCCAAGAGACCATCTGATCCAGCAGGTTTCACAGTAAGATGTCCAGGTACCCTCATTTCGATAGGAGCGGGCCACTTGAATCCGATGCCCCCAGTTGGAAATCCACCCGCCTGGCCTACTGTCCTTAACCATGCAGAGGTGGAGAGTGAGGCCAGAGAAAAACAATAGGGACTAGGAGTTAGGAGTGGTCCAGGAGGCCAGGAGCTGTGATGACTCCCAGCTGCATCCCTGCACATGGACTGTGTCCTGCAGGGCGGGGGAGGAGTGTCTGGTACATCCAGCCCTCATCTGTGGCTCTCTTTCCAGGTGCCGCCATGTTGTCCTCCCTGTTCGTGCTGCTCCTGGCCATAGGCAGAGGACAGACAACTCGGCCATGTTTTCCTGGATGCCAGTGTGAGGAAGAGACTTTCGGCCTCTTTGACAGTTTCAGCCTGACTCGCGTGGACTGCAGCAGCTTGGGCCCCCACATCGTGCCTGTGCCCATCCCTCTGGACACAGCCCACCTGGACCTGTCTTCCAACCGGCTAGAGACCGTGAATGAGTCGGTGCTGGCAGGGCCAGGCTATACCACACTGGCTGGCCTGGATCTCAGTCACAATCTGCTCACCAGCATCGCGCCCACTGCCTTCTCCCGCTTGCGCTACCTGGAGTCTCTCGACCTCAGTCACAATGGCCTGGCCGCCCTGCCAGCAGAGATTTTCACCAGTTCCTCCTTGAGTGATGTCAACCTCAGCCATAACCGACTACGGGAGGTGTCAATATCTGCCTTCTCCACCCAAAGCCAGGGCCGGGCACTGCATGTAGACCTTTCCCACAACCTTATCCACCGCCTGCTCCCCCATCCAGCCCGGGCCAGCCTGCCTGTACCTACCATTCAGAGCCTGAACCTGGCCTGGAACCGGCTCCGTGCTGTGCCTGATCTCCGAGACCTGCCTCTGCGGTATCTGAGCCTGGATGGGAACCCTCTGACTACCATCAACCCCGGTGCCTTCATGGGGCTGGCAGGCCTCACCCACCTGTCACTGGCTAGCCTACAGAGTGTCCTCCAGTTAGCACCCCATGGCTTCCGAGAGCTCCCCGGCCTACAGGTCCTGGATTTGTCAGGCAACCCCAAGCTCAAGTGGGCAGGAGCCGAGGTGTTTTCAGACCTGGGCTTGCTGCAGGAACTAGACCTGTCAGGTACCAGTCTGGTACCCGTACCTGAGATGCTGCTCCATCACCTCCCTGCTTTACAAAGTGTTAGTGTAGGCCAAGACGTTCAGTGTCGGCGCCTGGTGCGGAAGGGTGCCTACCCCCGGCAGCCTGGCTCCAGCCCTAAGGTAGTCCTACACTGTGGAGACACCCAGGAATTTGCTGCCAGGGGCCCAGACATCTTGTGACAAATGGTGTGGCCTGGGGCCACTTGACAGACTGCTGTCCTGGGCTTGCTCAGGTCCCAGCTAACTTATATTTCAATGTGCCAATGCCTGTGGGGAGTCTATAGGCCTAGGTGATGGCATCTCAGTAAAGTTGTGGGCCAGGGATAGCTTTCGTACCTGGGGGCTATACCCAGTAACAAAATCTACCCATTTGTCTCATTGGCTCATTTCCCAGAACTATGAGCAGAGGGACTTTCATGCCAAACCAGACTCTGGTCCCTTCCTGAGCCCTGCCCCTGTTGTCCCTAAGTGCCTTCCCTTTTGCCTGGACTGACCTGACCCGTGATGTGGGAGGGTGGGAGGGTGGGCGCCACCACTGCAGATGCTGCCTCAGGTCCTCTGGCTGAGGGCTCCTTTGAGCTCAGTGTCTAATGCTCTGGGTCTATGAGGCCTATTTCTTCCTTTTCTCATGAAATCCTGGGTAGACTGTTGAGTATAGAAGGACTTAGAGAGAAAATCAAACCCACCCTCCTTGGAAGTATGGGACCAAGAGCAGCACACATGCTCACCTGAGGTCTTGGAGAGGTGTGAAGAGCCCAGCCTCCCGCTGAGCCCCCAATCTCTGTCATCCATCCTCTCCCCTTGCTGGATGACCTGTTACCATTGTCTGTTCTCTTTCCCATTATGCCTAGTGGTATCAACAGCAAGGTCACAGAGGTGGGACTCCAGGTCTAATGGCCAGCTTATGGTATGAGTCCACCTTTCAGAGCCTCAGGAAGCTTGGGACATACCAGTCCCAAGCCTGTCAGTTTCTTATTGTGGGGTGGGGGGTCCCCTAGCATCAAGACTGGAAGCTTGCACATTTTCCCTAGAGACCCTGCCTCGAGGTGCTTCCTAAGAAGTCAATGCAGTTGTGGCTATTTGGCTGTGAGCTCCAAGGGGACTTGTGGACTTGGTGTCCATGGGCCAGAGCCCAAAGACCCATTTAATCCTCCAGGAGTTTGTCAGAAAGAGACAGGGTTTCCCATCCACATTATGCTTACCCCAGGGTCACATCTCAGCTCTCTAGCCCTGGACTCTTTCCTTCGTCTTCATTTTATAAGAGTCATTCCCTTTTCTTAATGAACTGTCACTTTTAACCCTCACCTCTGCTGGCCGGGGATGGAGATGACGATAAATGTATTTGTTCACTTTTCTAAGACTGTTCTGGGCATGCGTTGGGGGTGTTGGGAAAGAAGCCAGCTGCTCTAAGTGACCGTTGGGCATCGGGGCTGGCCCCAGAGATGCTCACAAGGCAGTGAGAGCTCTGTCTTCCCACACCAGCCCAGCCCAGCCCCCGACTGGTCCTCAGTTTAATAAATACATAGAAGAGTCCTTTCCATCCCATCATTGAACCAGAATTTGCTGATAATCGCTAAACTGGGGTTGGGGCTACAAGGACAAATTAGACCCCACCTTGGGCAGCTTATTCTCCCTGAAAAGGCCAGGAATCTTCCAGAATCGGGTGTGTATGATTCTTGGGCAGGCTAACCTCTCACTGTAGCCTGCATCCCATGACTTTCTTACCCCCCCATCCATGTCACTGCACCTCCATCCTCCATCCCTGCATCTTTAGCCACGAGGCCCTGACACACCCTTGTGTCTATGCAGGCTGTAGCTGTGGAACTCTGTCCTTGCTCTATTCCTAAACTCTTTCCATCTAGGACATCCAGTTCCTAATGTGCCTTGGAAGTGTTCCCAACGTCTCCCTCAGCTCCCTTCTGTCAGCTTTGGCCATCATTGGCATTAAGCTGCTGTGGTACCCTAACTCCAGTTTGTACACTTCTAGTAATGGCACATCTCAGTGACAGCTCACTTCCAGCTCCGTGTGGGCTTTTTGTCGACAGGCTGCTTCTTCTGACTGGCCAATCTAGGGAGGTATCCGACGCCATCGTCACCACCAACAGCCATCTGTTGCTGATGCCTGCTCTGTGCCAGGCACTGCTCTGAGCTGCAGATATAACACCCGGAGTCCCTGCCCCATGGGACACAACAGGATCCCTAGCTAAAGAAAAGTTCAAAGCCAGTGAAAGCCTTGTGGAAGACCTGCATAGCTCATGATGAGTCGACTAGAGCAAGGAGGCCTAGAGCAAGGAGGCCAGCACTTAGGAAAGGTCATAGGTGAGGGGTCAGTGGCACAGAGTTCAGGGTTTCTAGTTGATAAATCTCCCCTGGTGACCTTATTGGAAAGCTTGTCTAACTCCCTGGGTGAATGCCCATTGTTGGAATGTTCTGGACTCTGTGCACAAAGAGCTGAGGTGGAAGGGTCCCATTCCCTAGATTTACTCGGGTGGAGAAGAGGGAAGCCCTGTATACCAGGCAGGAGAGGCTTCAGATGTAGGAGTGGGGGAAGGCGGGAAGTATGGTACTGTCACCCAATAGGCCTGGGCCCTCCCAAAGCCCTGCTTGTTGAAGGAATTCTGTTTTTGAGACAAGCTCTTTGTGAAGTCTTGTCCACACATGGGAATTTTAAAGACAGGGACAGAACCTGGGAGGTGGGGCATGTAGAGAGAGATCTCAGCACTCAGACTGCAACTGTGGTGCACACCAGTGATGCCGGCTGCTGAGGCAGAGCCACGACCTTGACTCCTATGAGGGTCTGGGGCAGCCAGGTTGGAGGTGAGCCTGGGCTGCATTAGACCCTGTCTCAAAAACAATAAGAAAAATAAAAAACAAAAATGGATCAGGGATGGAGCTTCTGAGGTGAGGATGGGGTCACAGACACCAAACTGCAGCCTCATCCTGTGTCCTGAAACCTCAGAACACTCAATAGAGCCTCTCCCCCTGTAGTGCTTTTGGGAAGTCATCTGGCCCACAGCGCCACCTGGTGACTGACCACACACCCCACACAACAGGCCGAGCAAGGCGGTGAATGCTGTTCTCTGCTTCCCTCCATCCACAAACACAAGGTCTTACCCTCCTTCCGGAGACCCAGTCACCTACGAAGAGGGCACAAAAGTATTCAGCCTTCAATTTTATGCTAAGATTCTGTTTTGAAATCATAGGGCTCATCGCGGAAAAAAAAAAAAAGAAACAAAACATCCTGGATTCATCACAAACCAATTGTGTGACCTACCTGAGCCTGGAAAAAACGAGAATTCACAAGAAGAGGGAATGAAGTCACATTTGTGCAGAATTGAAAACTGTGACAGTCACAAAAATAAGGTGCTCCCAAAGTGCCTTTTGTCCTCTCCTTACAACCACACCGAGTACTTTGCCACCATATAAATGAGGAAACCAGCCCAGGGCTGGCTTCATCTGTCAGGTGTCACCTCCCCTCCTTGCCTGTCACTGCCCGTGAGTGGGACCACTACACTCAGAACCCGAGAGGAGAAGGGTGCTGTGAAACACCAAGCACCATTAGATTGAAGCATTTTTTATGTTGCAAATAAGTCAGGGAGATTGCACAGCTCTCTAAGTAGATCCCATCGGACCGTTGAGTCTAGACCCTAGAGGGGAAAAGGCCGAGGTCAAAGTTACAGACTTTTCTCTTGGCCCCTTTTCACACATGTGAAACTGAAGTCTGCAAAGGTGCGGACTCTGGTGCCAGGGTTCTGTGCTGCAGAACTTGCTAGGCAATCTATTGTACACAACATGCAACGTGCGCTCGTGGGTCTGTTATTCAGGGTGTTTAAGAATTTCAAGAAGAGCCAGAAAGCAAGCACGGGGCCCTTCTAAGGTCCCACGATCTATGAATCTCTTTCTGGGCTCTGGTTGCCTCATTAGTAGAGGAAGCCAAGGGCTTGCCTAGTGCTGGGGAGGATGGCAGAACACAGTGGCTCAAAGAGCCCATTGGGATCTTCCCAACAGGAATTCCCCTCTCCGAGTAGCCACACCCCGCCCCACACTTCCTCCATACTGCCATGGCCAAACGGCTCTCAGAAAGAGTAGCAGAGGCGGAAACTCCCATCTGAGTGTCGTCAGACCAGTTTGTAGGCCACTTATTTGGACACCACCACCAAGGATATAAAAGGCAGTAGCTTTGTCACTTTGTGTGAGGTTCACTCATACCTAATCTCCCAAGGGTGATGTCTATAACAGCAGAGGTCATCGGAGGCTAATGTGGCCTAGCCCATCAAGGGTCAACATTCCTTCTTGGCTAACTTGCACTGGAGGAAATGTTTATTCTATTAATAATGAGTCCACTCGTGGCCAGCATCTACAAATGGAAGGTGTACAATGCTGGTCGTATCTGTCATATACTGCTGCCCAGTGTCCCAGGTAGCAATTGATAATATGCTCTGTGCTCAGCATGTCACATCTGTCCACAATGTACCTTTCAGCAGCAGCAGAGTGAGCATTCAGCTAAGTCATGTACCTCTGTTGGATTTTCTTATTTATATACGTACTACTGATTGTATTTGTGGAGATTACTGTGTTTGTCCAGCTTGGAGGGGGAATTCCTCCTGTATTTATTCTCTAATTCCCAACAGTATTTGTTATTTTATGTCACCTACTCATTAGGCAGAATGTTCCAAACTGGGAAGACAAGCATATGCCATGTTTCTTGGTGTATACATGTGTGTATCTATACCGTGTATATGATAATTATGGTGGACATTGATACAGGAAGACACAGAAGAAGAGATATTGGTTGGAGACTTGAAGGATCAAGCTAAGAATGATTTTCTAATTAATTGATTCTTAGAAGCAGTAACTAAGTGGAATGATGAGTGAGGGCTTGATTCTCCTGCTAAGATGAAGGGTGAAAAGCCCCACTTGGAGCTCAAAAAAAAAAAAAGCTGGGTTCCCCAATGAAGTGAAGCCAGTGACTTGGGACATCTCAGTAATAGCTCCTGGGATATAGAAGAAGGTCATCTGGCCTCAAAATCTGGCACTGCTGAGTCCTGGGGAAAGAAGTCACCTACCCAGTCTTTTAGACAGTCGGGGCTGCTCCTCCTAGGGACTTAGCATGGTGCTTACAATGCAGTTAAAAGATATATCCATGAAATATTACCTATCTTTTCTTTTGAGTTCCCTCCACACACACCTTGGTCAAATATATAAGCTTTTTTTCTTCTGCTTCTCCTCCTCTTTTTCCTCCTCTTCCTCCTCCATTTTTTTCCTTGGGACTGTTAGCCCCCAGGGGAGATAACATGGGAAGCAGTGCTATCCTGAAGGACTTCCCTGATTGGGCTTGGGGGCTAGAGCTGACCCACTAGACTTGAGAAGTGGGAAACCCTGTCCTTTTCCTTTTGAAGAGTTCCACCTTCTGTCTGAAAACTGCCATTGCTCTTGGACTTAAGTGATGCCAGTTGCCTGAGGCTCTTCCATGATGAGCAAGGGCTCAGGATACTGAGTGTATTTCGGGATAATGATGAATGTCTGGGTGAGTCTACAAGTAGGACACATGCTACTTCGTGGGGCCAAAGAGGTGTCTGCCCCACTATCAAAGTGTGTTATCCCTAGAGACGCTTTCTAGGGTAAAAACACCAGATGCAAGAGGGCGAGGCCCACAAAGAAGGTGGTGGGAAGGCAGGCTCACATCCCTACACGGTCTCTCTGCTATCAGTGAGATATCCCTGTCAAACTAGTGTCCCAGGAAATCCCGACTCCTGGCATTCACAATGGAGCCTTCACACTCATCTTGAACCTGGGTTGGGACTATGACTTTGATTAGGACAGTTCATTTTTACTTTGTTTCTTTTAAAAAAATTAAATGTACATGTTTGGGTGGGTGCACACACATCAGAGGACAGTTTGCAAGAGTTGGTTCTCTCTGTCCACCATGTAGGTCCTAGGGATAGAGTTCAGGTCGTCAAGCTTGGCAGTGAGCCCATTTACCTACTAAGCCATTTTGCCAGCCCATGTTTCAGTTTTTGAAACAGGGTCTAACACTATAACTTACTCATACTGGCCTGGAGTTCCTCCTGTCTTAGCCTCCTGAGTGCTGAGAGTGTAGGTATATGACACCATGCCCCAGGCAATATACTTTAAATGCAGGATAATATAGAAGCAGGTCCACGAAAAACCGGTCTTTTTTATTTACTTATTTTAAACTTTCAATTTTTGTGGTGCAGGGGAATTGAACCCAGAGCCTTGCACTTGCTAGGCAAACTATCCACCATACTCAGCATAAGACCTAAATCTTAAGAAGATTTGTGTTGCACGTCTTTCTCTGTTCCACCAGCCAGCTCCCAAATAACCATTTGGCTGATAGCTTAGGCTAGTTCCTAACTAGTTCTTATAACTTAAATTAATCTACTTTTATTAATCTATGTTCTTTTATGTGGCTTGGCTACCTTTGTTTTGTAATGCCTATGCTGCTTGTTCTGCATCTCCCTCTCATCTCTGCCTTCTTCCAGCATCCTCTCTGCCCCCAAAATCCTGTCTAG